TAATTACAAGGGTTATAAATTTAGAAATACAAAGCGTACCAAAAAAGTCAAATTAGAATTAAAACGCGAATTTGACTCATCTGATCAGTGGTTAGAAAAATGTGTGTCGGTGATGTTTGTTTTCTTGACTAGTGACAAATTCTTAATGTAAATTTCTCTTCCTTTTAAGCTACAATCCAACACAGCATTCAATTCAAACACTCTCGTTAGGAAAACGTAATCATCACATGAAAAATGTTCCATTCAATAATCAAACCGTTGGTCGCGTGTCAGATAAGTTCATTAATATACGATAATTCAAACTTGACAGGTCTTGTTTACATACAATAATACAAAGTTGATTCTTTTAATACCACTGCACTGACTTCAACTATAAATTACATTAATCCTTACGAATCGTTTGAAAAATACTAAAACGTGTATCTTTATACAAATGTTTGTTCCAAATGTTAAAAGTCAATTGTATATATACAATCCCCAAACTCTTCAGTGTTATATTTTTAATATCTCTACTTGTTGAAAAACAAACTTATCACATCAAAAGATTAACAACGTATTCAAATAAAATAATAATAATAACAATCAACTTATGTCGTTAGCAAATTGACTTGTAAATTAATCCTATCACTGTTGTCTCACCATAATTCACTTCACTTTATCAGCCTTGTAAACTAATATAACAGATATATAACAGCTTTTCTGCTATATATCAGTTCTTGCTCTTTTCCTTTATACATCACAGTGTATACAACTGTTTGATGTGTGTATTACTAATAAACTTAACTTATCATCTTCTCCTTTCTTTCTTACACTTCTCTAATACAGCACCAAAACTTCATGAGGATCAAAGCAGAAATATCCATGATCCCTACTGGGATTAGTCTTAGTTTCATGTTTCTCCTTTTCACCACCGCAAGTGCTCAACCACCGATTTACATGTACAATTTTTGTGAGAACTCAACTCTTAGCTCCTCATACAAAGACAACGTTGAAACCCTTCTCTCATGGCTAACCACAGACTCATTCAAAAGCAACGGATACAACTTCACCACTGTAAATAGCAACAACAACAACAATGATGATGATGTTTATGGATTGTACAGCTGCAGATACGACATCACAGGGTATTTTTGCCAGTTCTGCATCACCACTGCTGCCACTGAACTCTCTCGGAGGTGTCCCAACGCTGTAAGAGCTATCATATGGTATGATGTATGCATCATCCGTTACTCAAACCAAAGTTTCATTGGCAATGTTACTTTAACCCCAACATGGAATATTACAGGACCCAGAATAATCAAGGTAATGTTTCAGTAAGGAATATGGAAATTCGGATAGCTTAAGATAGATGGTTTTATTTTTTTAAACATGATTATTGTGAAGTATAGAAGGGGTTCTTAGGTTAAGTCTGATTAGTTTTAGAAGTTTTTTTTTTTCTCTCCAGTTTAATTATGTTTTTATATGCAAAAGTCAAAGGTAAAACTTTGAACAAGAGATTTAAGTATAGTTTCATTCCCACAAACGACCTGTTGGTAAGATATTATTTTTAATTCCAATTAAAATTTTAGAATTTTAACATATTATATTTAGATGATGAAATTCATGTTTCTTTGTGTTTTAAATCCTATTAGATAGAATATTTTAATTTCTGTTTAACAGTTAGGTTGTATTAATGTAAAAGAAAAATTACACAGCCAATCAATCAAAAGTTTTTTAATATAACTTTCAAAAATTATTCTACAATCAACAAACTTTACTATCATGGTTTAGGATTGAATAACACCATATAGTCATTTACTTATGTATTATGCATATATGTCAATTGATAATTTATATACAGCATTTTTATTTGAATTTTATTTATTTATTTTTTGTGTGTTCTCCAATAATATTCTCATCATTAAAAAAATGTCTATTATGACTGTGTATATAGAGTATAAAACTGTTTTGCAATGTAGTTCAGTATGATTTTTAAGTTAATACTTATAATTTGTGATTCCATGAGTAAAACTACTAAAGTTTTTTGGGTTTTTAAAAATCCTTTATATTTAACATTTTGAGGTTGTGTTATGCTAATTCACTTTAAAATCAAACTTCTATCTGAAATTTCTTCATCCAAATACAGCATTCATCAGAATCTAGGAAAGCTGAGGACTCTGTGCAGAGTTTGATTTGGAAAGCAACCGTAGAGACGAAGAAGTTTTGGGCAGTGGATGAGTTTGATTGGGTTGACAATGAGAAAAGATATGGGTGGGTACAGTGTGACAGAGGTATTAAAAATGATCAGTGTGGTGAGTGCTTGCATGCATTGTTAGACATATTTCCAGAGTGTTGTTCAACACATGCACAGTGGGCAGTTTTTGGTCCAAGTTGTGGCATTAGGATGGATGATGAGAAGTTTTACCAGACTTCAGGTTAGGGTCTATTTTGAATTTTTTATAATGTTTAAAAACTATCTTTTTAGAAAGAAATACGAGGTAGACATTTTGATTTGTTTTTTCCATTTTACACACATATAATTTCAAAATGACCTTTTTAACTCATTAAAAGAAAAAAATAGCATTTCTTTCTGTTTGGCATAGTTTACTTTTAATTTTGGTCTCTTGGATTATTTGTGTAAGTGATCCCAAAGGGAAAAAATTATTCTTTTAATTTTAGGAGAAATTATATATATCTAAAATTGTAAATTGTAAGATTTGTAATTTCAATCTCTTGTAGATTTTGTCTTCATCTGTATGATCCCACTATTTTACAGGGTTCCAGTTAAATTTATTGTGTTATATTCGTTGTGCCTTTGAGGTGTTTGGGAAAATGTTTAAAGCAGAGGAACTGTACCATGAACTAAGTGTTTAAAAAAGAGTAACGTTACAATATATTGATCGATAGCTTTAATTCTTTTTTATGTATATAAATAGAAATAATAGTTTTTTGGTAGATTCTTGGGATGTGAGTTGATTTATTACAGAGATTATGTGCAATTCGAAACTCAAACTGATGGGTAATGAAGAGGGTAACCTTGATTACTTTTTATATGCCCTCAGGTTGATTCTAAGGCTTTATTCATTACTTATATATGGTTTTTCCTTTAAGTTAATGCACAGATTAAACTTGATCTACCAAATCGTATAGCTTGTGCGATGATGGAACTTGTATGTGGTTAAACAGGTGTCGTGAATCTTTTCTTTTTTCTAGTATGTTAATTCTTTTCATTAATGAGTTTATCTTTATTGATGTCCTTTAAAATTATTTGGGATAGTGTAATATGAATTCTTTTTATTCCTGTCCTGTTTATTTGGACTCTGTTGAATGTATATGGTAATTAAATTGTGAAGTAGCACCATGATAATGTACATTTATCTTTTCTTTTTATTTGCAGAATGTGATCTGAATAATGTGTAAAAGATTAAAAATGTAATTGTTCATCTTTTATACCGTATCAGGCGATGGAGGTTCAAGTAAGTCAAGAAAGTTTATCATTTCCTTTAGTGTGTTGGGGTCTGTAGCTCTACTATGCTTCGGTGTCTACTGCTTCTGGTACAGGAAAAGAGTCAGAAGAGGTAATTTNAAATTGTAAGATTTGTAATTTCAATCTCTTGTAGATTTTGTCTTCATCTGTATGATCCCACTATTTTACAGGGTTCCAGTTAAATTTATTGTGTTATATTCGTTGTGCCTTTGAGGTGTTTGGGAAAATGTTTAAAGCAGAGGAACTGTACCATGAACTAAGTGTTTAAAAAAGAGTAACGTTACAATATATTGATCGATAGCTTTAATTCTTTTTTATGTATATAAATAGAAATAATAGTTTTTTGGTAGATTCTTGGGATGTGAGTTGATTTATTACAGAGATTATGTGCAATTCGAAACTCAAACTGATGGGTAATGAAGAGGGTAACCTTGATTACTTTTTATATGCCCTCAGGTTGATTCTAAGGCTTTATTCATTACTTATATATGGTTTTTCCTTTAAGTTAATGCACAGATTAAACTTGATCTACCAAATCGTATAGCTTGTGCGATGATGGAACTTGTATGTGGTTAAACAGGTGTCGTGAATTTTTTCTTTTTTCTAGTATGTTAATTCTTTTCATTAATGAGTTTATCTTTATTGATGTCCTTTAAAATTATTTGGGATAGTGTAATATGAATTCTTTTTATTCCTGTCCTGTTTATTTGGACTCTGTTGATTGTATATGGTATTTAAATTGTGAAGTAGCACCATGATAATGTACATTTATCTTTTCTTTTTATTTGCAGAATGTGATCTGAATAATGTGTAAAAGATTAAAAATGTAATTGTTCATCTTTTATACCGTATCAGGCGATGGAGGTTCTAGTAAGTCAAGAAAGTTTATCATTTCCTTTAGTGTTTTGGGGTCTGTAGCTCTACTATGCTTCGGTGTCTACTGCTTCTGGTACAGGAAAAGAGTCAGAAGAGGTAATTTGCTGCAGTAAGTAAACACTTGCTTGATTTTTTAAAAAAGATTGCTTTCAGGTCCTCAAATATGGATTCAAAAACTTGTCATTGTAGATAAGATGATGTTTGATGAGGAAACGTTGCATGGCGACCTTCCTACAATCCCGTTAATCGCAGTTCTACATAGTACTAATAACTTTTCAGAAGAATCTAAATTAGGGGAAGGTGGATTTGGTCCTGTTTACAAGGTATTAGTGATTTGGAATTTGTAATATAGATTCTTTACATTTGGCATCTTTCTATATGTTCTAATTTATTGCAACTTTTATCAGGGAATTCTACCAGATGGAAGACAAATTGCAGTGAAAAGGCTCTCGAAATTTTCTGGTCAGGGCACACAGGAGTTCAAGAATGAAGTAATGTTTATAGCTAAATTGCAACATCGTAACCTCGTCAGACTTTTGGGATGCTGCTTAGAGGAAAAGGAGAATATACTTGTATATGAGTATATGTGTAATGCAAGCCTTGACTCTCACCTCTTTGGTGGTATGTTTTACAGATAAATTTAGTGAATAGCTTTTTTTTCCCTCCATGCTCTGTCCAATAATTACTATTTGGTATTTGCTGAGCTCTTAAGTTTTTTTTTTGCTCTTTCTCTTTTGAGATATCTTATCTGTCTTAATGTTGTTAGGCGATGAGAAGAGAAATCAACTTGATTGGAAACTAAGATTCAGCATTATCAATGGAATAGCAAAAGGTATTTTATATCTTCATGAGGACTCTCGACTCAAAGTAATTCATAGAGATCTCAAAGCTAGCAATGTTCTATTAGACCATGAGATGAATCCCAAGATATCAGATTTTGGATTGGCCAGGGCATTTGAAATAGGACAGAACCAAGCAAATACAAAACGAGTAGTGGGCACCTAGTGAGTTTTACTAATACCTAGCACCGCTTTAAGTAATAGGATTTTTCTGATGCAGTGTTAACTACTTAACCATTTGAAAAATTAGATTTTTGTTATGTATTAATCATTCAATGTATAAGAGGAATAAGAAAGTTGTATTGCTTCCTTGCAGTGGATACATGGCTCCAGAGTATGCTATGGAAGGATTATTTTCCGTGAAAACGGATGTTTTCAGCTTTGGAGTTATTGTCCTAGAAATCATTTGTGGAAGAAAGAACAGTGGATTCCATCGATCAGAACATGGTCAAAGTCTTCTTTTATATGTGAGTTTTCCCTCGTATTGATTCAGGAATTATTGAACCATACTAACTAGTACTTACATTGTTAAGAAATCACAATTACATGCAGGCTTGGAACATATGGTGTGAAGGAAGATGTTTGGAATTGATTGATCAAGCATTGATAAAATCCTTCGTAGCCAGTGAGGTTGTGAAGTGCATACACGTTGGTTTGCTTTGTGTTCAACAAGATGCAGCAGATAGGCCAACCATGTCCACGGTTGTTCTAATGCTAGGAAGTGACACAATGACCCTTCCAAACCTAATCCACCCTGCATTTCTCCGTTGGAAGATTGACCTCTATGAAAGATAAACTTCAAGAATTCCAAGAATCTTTCTATGTAAGGATCTACATCTCTCAAAGTTTTGGGAAGCAAGATAGGAATGTTTCGTTGTTTCGGAGTACGTATTCATTGAATTTTAGACTCATAGCACTATCCAGCGTGGTATGTTTCTTTCTTCTTATCTTGATGTTTTTAAGATGATAGAAACAATGAAATTAGGAATATTGATTCTCATTTTCTTTACATGATTCATCACATTATAAAATCCATTTTAAATTGTTATAACTCATAACTAAAAAAAAATTAAGAAACAAACAAACTCAATTTTATATCAAAATTCATATGCCTCTTCTTCCGTACATTACAATGGAAATTGCTTTTATAAACAAAATTAGGTAAAACACTATATTCCACATAAATTCCCACTACTCATTTCACAATGTTATTGACTCTTCATACCCACATTTATAAGGAAGATTAAGAACACTAAAGTTGAATTCGCATCTATTTTTAAATTTAACTCGTGTTTTATTAGCATGTACAAAATAACGTGATGGTATATTTTCACAAATTTATCATGTACAGTTTCTTATTCTTTTTATTCTTAGTGTATAGCTTTGATTCTCTTAATTTAAAAACATAATAAAAAATTATAATAACCTTAAAACTACGTTGATCTATAACATCCCAAAATACAGTAATTACTATAATTCAGAATTAATTACAATTAACAGTAAATCAATGCAGTCTTTATATTAATAAAACGAAGCACAAAAGCCGAACGGCTTAAAGTACAGAACCACTATACAAGAAACGGAAATAATACAATTTTAGGACGAACGGTTTTACAAAATAAATAACCGAACGTTCAATTTCAAAAGCGAACCTATCAACTAGAAGAAACGGGGCGTTCTACTGCTCCGCTTTCACTTCAACTTTTCCTCACGTTTTTTTCTTCCTCGATCACATCCTCTAAGGTGGCCTCCGCCTTATGCTCCATCCACACGGATGATCATTGCAAGATAGGACGAACGTACATCTACATAGACACACAAGTAAAACGAAAGGGTAAGCTTATATAATTTTAATTCTACATCCAACATATACGTTTAACGTTTTCATTCACACACAACAAGTAACTTAACATAGTAACCACTAGAAAATATATAATAGTAGACAGACCGTCCGGACTTGTATGAAACTGTGTAGTCTCACAAAACAGGCGTCCTTGCACCCGAGTGATGTTAGTACTGGAATAACACGCATCACACTGCCAACTCGAGTTAGTCCTATCCAACGTCGCCCATTAAGGACCTAGAACCTCCTGCCATTCCCACACATGTACAGTACCCTCCTCTATCTATGAGATGAGTACTCACGGAATCATCAGGATTGAACACCAGCTCTTAAGCAATGCCCACAGTCATACTTTCACACTCCAATATTCACATTATGATGATTCGTTTCCTTCCCCTGGAAGCGCTCTGTCCAAAATCCAATATAGTATAATCGTTCCATATAATGTTCACCTTTTAAAACTTCATACGTTTATTATCATTGTCATCATTTGTTTCAAACCCTCAAAATAGACAACGTTCAACCCTCTGAAGGAAGAGGACGAACGTGAACAAGCGAGACTAGAAGTACTCGTCGCCAATCAAATGAATCGACATGCATGATTATTTGACGAACGTCTGCTACTCAATTCAGTTGAATGAATGACTCTAGATGGTACCATCAATATTCAGAATATTTTAAGTACCAAGATGTTAAGCCGAATCCAATGGATGAAGATACAACAAGATACGGAAGTTATTGACTACACTGAGAAACCCTTCGTTTAAAGGATCGACTGCCAGTCAATGACCGAACGCGATAATATACATTTACAAGTATTTGAACGAACGTCTATTTACTCCGTTATAAGAAATCAAATGTAACGGCCGAGCGTCGGTATGAAACCGACCACTACTTAGACGACACGCTGGTATATGACCGAGCAATCAACGCGTTTTGAGTACTAGAAATTGAGCTATAATAGGGGAACGAACGTCTTGGTTAAGACCGAGCGCTATTATACGACTCTTGTATAGAACTTCGATTAAGACGACGCTTGTATAAAGACCGAGCCGCTACTTAGAAAGTTTTATAAGAGTCGAGCAGATATATACTTATTTTAGTTATATTTTAATTTGTACTACGGTATAACGACCTCTATTACTGCCGAACGCTCAAACATAGTAATTTTCACATGGAGACGCTCGTTCTCGATCAGAGTTCTTTCCAAATGAAAGAATTCCATTCTAAGTCATTTTCAAGGAAACCGAACGGTATAAGACCGTACGATGACGAGCGTAATTTATCATAGGGAGAATTACGTATTCATATTTTCAACCTATCTGTAACTCAAATTTTTCTCATAACATTCATACTTTAATAAATCATAATCCCTCATTAAGTCACATACCTTTATAGAGTCCATCATATTAACAAGTCAAACTATACCATAGTCATCCATCTTTCAATCCCATACGTCATCAAATCACCATACATACAGTTCAACCACGAATCATATTCAATCCAGTACAACAAGTTTCGTTCATGCATACTCAAACATACGATATACATATATCCATA